TCTGTAATCTAATCTAATCTGAGGTCAGATCAGGTCACGGACTCCTGCACCTGTCTTCCATTGATGTTGGACGCTGACACCACCAGGTGAGAAACTGAAGACAGGTCATTGACGTCCAGGACCAGAACCTGCAGCAGAGAAGAGTGTGTGGTGAAACCAGCCCCCGCCCCCGGTCTGGACGGTCCAGGGTCTGTGCACGGTCATTACCTTGTACGGTGGCAGGAGCTCAGTCGTCATTGACAGGTCGACGGCACGCACGCTACCAAAGGTCAACACAACAAAAACAGAGGTCGTTCAACATGACAAGCAAAAATGTGAGCAAATCAAATATAAATTTAAATAGAAATTCAATTCAGTTTGTCTCTGGTGTGTTGTTAATCAAAGTTATTCTTCTGTAAATATTCTCACCACGTGGAACCGATCTTGTGCGTGCAGCCATACACCCAGGCGGTCATCTCCTGAGAATCAAAACAACAGCAGCGTTGAAGTGACAGTAGAATCCTCTGGACGTTACACAAGTATGACAATTTTTAGTTTCACCATTTCTTCTGTTCTTTAACGTGATTGGCTGTGAGCTAAAAAGGTGAAAACACCAGTCACGGTACTTGATGAAGACGAGAACTCACCAAGTTACTGCTCCGACAGCAGTAACCGGAACTTGATGAAGACAAGAACTCACCAAGTTACTGCTCCGACAGTAGAAGTGACTGTAGACTCTCCTGCGACTGGACAAGGCAAACAGGAAGTATTTGACCTGTCCTTCCTGTAGGGGGAACAAACACCAATGACTGAAGACACATATTCAAAAAGTTTTATTTTAAAAAAGAATATTTCTGAAACACTGATCATTGATGATGTTTTTCCACTGTGTGACCTCTGATTCCTTGTTAATGTAATCTTTTTTTTAAAAGTTTTAACGTTTTATTTTAAAAAATAATATTCTTTGAATCACTGATCATTGATGATGTCCGATATTATCGGCCCAATATTAGCATAATTAATTGTAATATCTGTAAGAATCGTTATCAGTTTTTAGCCTTAACCTCGGTAACCACCAGACCATCACTGCCCCGCTATATCGGTATGGTAGATATCGGAATTGGAAATTAAATGTTTGGACAATATCGTCATATCAGATATCGATAAAAAGTTAATATCGGACATCCTAAGTTTCTTTTTTTCATATTTTTGTTTTCCGTCTCCTGTGGAGAACCGTTACCTGACCTTTGGTGAGTTGTAGACCAGTCGCAGTGTGTTCACTTCACTCCAAGCTTCAGGATCATCTGGACGAACAACGACAATAAACAACTGAGAATGCATCATCACTGGTACCGTTCTCTTCAATAACTATCGACAACAGTTCCAGAGAGTCTGACCTGAGAAAGAGGTGGGGGTGAGGTCAGTGTCTCCAACCATCCTGACAGGATGTCGGACAAAGTGATGGTTGAGGACGGCCATCTTCTTCATGGGGTTTGCTGTGAACTAACACAAACACATTGATTATGGACTGGGACCCCAGGCCAACTGTGGTACTGTTTTTTTTTCCACTCGTGTTTGTTCTGACTTGTTTGGTTTCAGGGTCAACCAGGTCGAAGAAGGCCCTGACTGTAGCAAGAACAAGTTCTTTACACCTGAAACAGAACACAACAGAAGAACACTGCATCAGAACATTTTTAAATGATTTGGTGTAAATACAGAGCTCACTGAGGCCAGCAGAGGTCAGCAGAGGACAAACTTATTAGGGTCAAAGTGATCCTAACAATGACCAGCACATGACAGAACTGTTCCTTCAGTAGAACTGTAAATGGAATGGGTTTTTTTATTTTAAAGCTATCCATAGTTTCTTTTTTTTCTCTGCAGCCTGGTTCTGGTCAGTGTTAATGGACCTGCGTACCAGACAATGGAGAGGTGGTCAGTGGACACCCACGTCCTGGGAACCGCAGTGGCCTGGAGACAGACAGGAAAATGAAACATTATGAAAACAACATGTATCATTTAAAGGACAGAAGAACAAGTCGCTGGGCAGAACAGTTCTGTGATCCAATTAGAATCCAGACATTTATTTACATGCACACAATAAACAGCTTCAGTGAAAAGACATGACAACAAAAATGTAGCCTTGGCAACAAAAACTACTCTGGTCCATTTACCCTGTTTTTTTCCCCCCAGTCCATTTACCCAGCTGAAGAACCCAGTTTGACCCAGTTGTCAGTGATAGTGATGGAGAACTCTTACCACCAGTGACAGTTTGTTGTTGTCTCCTGAGGAACATGGTAGAGATGTGAGACCAGACCTCACTTGGTAGTCACGGTAACCACCAGCAATGGACAGGACTGTGATGTTTCGGAGTTTGTCTGCCTCCTTCACCCACTTCTGTCTCACAGCAGAGTAGAAGTCTACACACACACACAAACGCATTATATTTTTGTTAATACTGTGTATCAACTGAGCATCAGAACTGTTCTGACCCAGCAGGTGAGGGTCCAGGGCCAGTACTGGAGCCAGGTGAGGGGAGGCCTGGGTGATGATGAGCTTAACCAGACTTGTGTTGAAGCGAGGAAGAGTGAAGAGGGCCCGAGCCACCACCCCGCCCATGGAGTGACCCACGAGCACCACATGGTGGGGAGGGTTCTTCAGGTGCTGGAAGGTCAGATAGGAGAAAAAAAAAATGAGAAGACGCTTGGACAAAAACACGGACGCCATCAACAGAAGGTGTGTTGAATGTTGACTTGTTCTTTACACACTGAACACCATGGTTGGTCAATACTAATTGAATGCTGGGTTGGACTGTGTCTGACTGACTGTCTCTGACCTTGTACAACCTCAGGATGGCTTTGATGCTCTCGTGGAGGAAGCGCGTCTGTCGCTGTAAACTTCCTCCGTACAAGGCCACCAGCTCCTCGTTGAAGTCCACCGTGAACACGTTGAAGTGGACGCTGCCCTCCATGGTTTCAGCTTTCCTCAGAGCCACAGAGCCCAGGGACCGAGCTGCAGCAGAATGACAAAAGGATATTAATTATAATGAATAATAATAATAATAACTAATGCCACTGTCTTTATCCTCCACTCTGTCAGGACCAGCCTAATGCCACTTTATCCTCCACTCTGTCAGGACCAGCTCTGTTTCCCTTACCTTGTTTGTAACTGCCTGCATTTCCAGGCAGGAAGAGCACGGGGGCGCCGGTGAGCTTTAGCCCTCTGGTCTCTTGGGCATACACACCCTCTCCATACAGGTAAAGGTTGTATGCTGGGTACAGTCTGGTCACGTGACGAGGTAGAGCAACTCGCTGTGGATAAAAACACATCAACGTATACAGAATGTTTTCTGACTAACAAACACAATTTTCAGTTTTTGGACAGTCCAAAGCAGAAGAAAAGAAGATGACGTAGATGACTGTTAACGTCAAGTTTCTTGAAACGTAAATAAAGCATTTAGCTAGCTTAATTAGCTTTACTCTAGCCTTAAAAATTGGCTGAAAAAAGGTTCGTTTATTTTTCTAAATATATGATTATTTTTTTAACAATGTTACATTTTATTTTTGCAGTGATAAACGGCACTTAATCATGACAAAATGCTTTTCCAACACATCACTGTATACAGAATGTTTTCTGATTGTCCAAAAACGATTGTGTTTGTCAGTCCAAAGCAGAAGAAGATGATGACGTAGAAGACTGTTAACGTCAAGTTTCTTGAAACGTAAATAAAGCATTTAGCTAGCTTAATTAGCTTTACTCTAGCCTTAAAAATTGGCTGAAAAAAGGTTCGTTTATTTTTCTAAATATATGATTATTTTTTTAACAATGTTACATTTTATTTTTGCAGTGATAAACGGCACTTAATCATGACAAAATGCTTTTCTATTTTTTATTTTATTCAGTTTGGCAAAATGCACGGACTCATGTAAACCGAATCTCAATAATAACTATTAAATGAAGTGAGTTTATCATAACTAATATGAACAGAAAGCCTAGCTGATAGCAGCTATTAGTTAGCGCCGGTCGCGACGTCTCGTTTTTGCTACGGTTCTGTCAAAGAAACCCTCGCTTTGTTGAACGAACTCCGTAGTTGACAGGTGCATTCGTAACCGAGGAAACGTAAACTTCTCACCCCGCCTCTGACGTCATCAGCTCACATTAACGGCAGGTTTGAATACAGGAAGTAGATATGAGCGTGACTGATACTGCTGATATGTTTCTACATATCTGACTTTGTGTTTGTGGAGCACACCCACCGTGTACCGTGTACTTACCCTGTACTCTGGGTATTCAAACATGTAGGTCATGCTGCACTTGTTCTCCTCGAACCCACTGAGCAGCTCCCGCAGGCCGACCAACAGCAGCCCCAGAGCGACGCCATAGAAGACAAGAGTAGCTGTTTTCATGGCTCCCTGCTGATGCCCGCTGTCACACATCACATACGTCTGTCCTCCATGTTTAACTTTTCATGCTGCCAACTGCCAGTGGTAGAAGAGAAGGTGCACGCCTCCAAACCGCCATGTTGTGTCGAATGTTGTCAACAGGTTTAGGTATTCCTGACGGGAACGCGCATAGCTCCAGCGGAAAACGAATTACATGCTCCCTAACCGGAATCAACTTATTTCCTAAAGACACACACACACACAAATCCAGTTTCTTCTTGTTGTGAATTCTTCTCGTCTTCCGCTATTATAAAATAACTAGAATTGTATGTAATGGACGGTTTTACACGTTAATGTCCAACTGCCGCCAAAACTGACGGCGCAGTTAGATTATATTCTCACAGCAACCAGTAGGAATGTTTACGATATCTTTAAATATGTTGCCCTGTGGTTATACTTGCGTGTTTGCCCTATCGGTGTTTAATTTTCATCTTTAGAAACAGTAAGTGATTCAGTTCCGAGATAATACGTAGTTTCCGCTTTGACAATACTCGTTCCGCTAGACACAAACCAAGGCGGTGTACGAAACACTACATAACGCAGACCTGCAGCTTCTTCGTCTGTCACCGCTCCCATTAATGGCAGACGAGACGAAGCAAAGATGCAACGCTGCCCCCTTCAGGACATTTGCTTAGCTACGTTTTAAACATTGCCGCAGTTGTGCCAAAACGTGACTAATTACGTATACTGGTTAAGAAGTCGATATACAAGTGAAGTGAAAACAAAAATGTATGTAAAGATTTTTTAAAGGTGACCAATTTAATTAGAATTTACGGCAAATCCACATAAAAAAATCTGAAAGTTGTCACAACTACATAAAAAAAACACAAAAAAGGGATGATGATGATGATGAAGTCCAAAGTCTAGTTTCTTGGCTTGGCAAATAAATGACCTGTCATGCTTTGTATCTAAATGTCTTATCTCCCATAATAATTCCTCATAATGTATGACCAAAAAATAATAATAGTTAAATTTAAATGTTTTCTTTATTTTTTGTCCTGTAATCTTAGTGAGTGGAAATTTTAAAATAAAAGATTCTGATCAAACCGGTTTGTGAGGCTTGGTTTGTATTTGTAGCTTCAACATCCAGACACAGGACCCTTCAGAGACGGCTGTGGTTGCTGGACCAGTCCAACCCGTACTCGTACGTCTGAAAGAACAACCTGAGCCAGTTTGAGCCGGTCTTTCGTCTTTACTGTCCTATAAGCAGCTGTGCAGTTCAGTACTGAAACTATGAAATGTCTGTGACCAGGTGAGACCATTCAGCTGCTCATTCCAGAAGCTTGGAGTGTTCTATCCTGGTGATGGTCCAGTCTGGAGCCACACCTTTAGTAAATTCTCTCTGGAACCTGACAGCAGAAAAAACACATATAATGAAACAGAAATTATTATTAGAATGAAGGTTAAACAGTTGTAATTAGGGATGCCTGATAATATCGGCCGACCGATATTAGCATAATTACCGTATATAATATTTGTAAGAACTGTTATCAGTTTTTCCTCTGATAATGAAACCAGTTAATAGAATGCCTGATTAATTTATTAACGGACACGGCAGAATTGAGAAACACTGCTTTAACTCATCAACTTAGTGAGAAGGCGGCACTTAACTATAAATATCACATATCAGAAAAAAGTTAATATCGGACATCCCTAGTTTTAATCGTTGTGCTTGTAACTGTAATTAAACTCACTCGTATTTGGCAACCAGCAGTCTTTTAGTGTCACCCTGTGTGTCGCCAACTAGAGGAACCTTGAAGAGTTGATCTCTCTCCATGGTATCGTCAGGCAGCTGAGCACTGGTCAGATACCAGAACCGCATCAGAATACTGACAAACTTCCTCCCTGGAGAATAGCAAAAGAAAAATTTACTTCAGATTAGGGATGTCTGATAATATTGGCTAATCAATATATAATTGGCCCGATATTAGCATAATTATGTAATATCTGTAAGAATCGTTATTGTTTTTTTTCTCCATGAATGAAAACCCAATAATGTGTAATAATGTGTGACCTAAAAAAAGTTTGGGGAAAATTTTTGTTTAGAATATGCAGTGATTCTTTTACTCCTTGTACTAAATGTGATTGTAACAGTATTTGGAATCAGGGTCATGACATCACGTGCGTCACACTGACCGTCATTATCATAGTAGATTCCCACGTCCCCTGTCGTCGTGTACATGATGTCATCAGGTTCTGCAGACAGCGCGTTCTTGTAGCTCAGCGACAGCAGGTTACATTTCTCCTCCAGTTTTTCAATCAGCTGCAAGAACAGGAGACAAAAGCACAGGTGACCTCTGTGACCTCTGCCAACTGATGGAACAAGGTGAAATCCTCCTCATCCACCAAACAGGATTACTGTGGTACTACTGTGGTACTACTACTACTGGGCTGACCCTCTGACATAACTCAAAAATCCATTTACTGACACAGTAGATCTGCAAAAAAGGTAATATCGGACATCCCTATTCTAAACATTACTGGGGTTGTCCCAAAATGTGGCTAATTATACTGGTTAACAAGTTCATATACAAGTGAACGAAAATCTGTTTTAGTATAAAATAAATTTCATAAGTTTGTACAAGTGAACAAAAATCTGTTTTAGTATAAAATAAATTTAAAAAACCACCAAAAAAAAAGTCCAAAATGATGGATTTACTTTCTGGAAAAGTCCAAACAGGATGTTTCTGTCTTAAGCACAAAATAAATGGTGAATCTAAATCATCCAGGCTTCCGTACTCACGTCTTTGGCCACAAGTCCTTCCAAAGCATCGAACCGACACTCAGACAGGAGTCTGGAAACATGGGAGAAGGCCTACAGGACAGAACACAGGGAAAGTCGTCATCGTCGCCATCACCGTGACCACTGACGTCATTATCAACAATAACAACATTAACACACACACCTGCTTCGCTCCTTCCGTGAACTCTTCAATACTGAACTCTGTGTCAAAGTAGGTCCTGATCAGGAAGTAGTAAATCCTAGTGCGGAACCAGGTCAAAGGGTTGGGGATGCCGACCACCACCACTTTCTTCACCTGCTTCTCCCTCCCCTGGTCGGAGCTGTAGTGCCGGTGCACCGCCGCCGTCACACACGTCGGTTCTGGGGGAGGCAGCCACTGTTTACCGAAACCTTTAGTTAGCAAATGTTCATGTCTGAAAAGCCGAGAGAAGCCGTACGTAAATGGAACTCTGTAACAACCTCTCAGAGCGGGGAGCGCCATCTTTGACGACTGGGCCGTCTGGTCCCACAGTTTAGTCTTCCGGTAGGAAACAAAGAGGTAAAGAAATTAAATTAAAATCACAGTTTGAAATGTTTAACAAGTCTGACAAACTTTTTTATAATCTTAAAGTACACACTGAGTTGCACATTTAAACCTTACAGTAAAAGTGTGTTTGTGACTTTGAACTTTTGTTTCCGGAGTGATCAGTGTGGATGTAACACAGTTCTCTCTGTTTACTTCCTGTTTCACCAATCGATCCATGAATGGAGCTTCAGGATAATATACGCGTGGCCGAATATATACAACCAGACAGAGACACTTTTCTGCGGGACATCTGTCCTCAGGTGAAACTTCTTTGTCCACTTCACTTGTAGATAGTGCCATTTATGGAAAAGGAATGAGCACCGATTGAGGGTTGTCAGTTTGTCCTGGTGTTCAGTCAATTTTAAATGTAAACGATAATTTGTTGTGGATAAATTTGGACGATGATGTGAATGTTATACGTGTCTGGAGAAAATGCTAACTATTTTATACCTAAAATTGGGCAGCGGAGACCAGCCGTACTGAGAGCAGTGGATCTTGGACCGTGTCTGGACAGATGGACGGTTGACTATCTGGGACAGACGGGAGGAGACAAGGACGTGAAGATCCATGTGTCTGTCTCACCGCAGATGGACTTTCTTCATAAGAACTTTTTGTACAAGTGAGCGTTCTCCCTACAACACTGGTCAACGTCAACACTTATACTGATGATAGAAGAACCCTCAGCTGTTCCTCTTTTCACACAGGACTCTTCCATTTAAGGAGTTTGTCAAAAGAGCAGCTGAGGAAAAACACAGCGACTACTTCCTGTGTGAGGTTGGTTTTAATCAACTAGTCTGTATGTGAAACTGACTGCATATGACTTATGCAAATATCGGGCCAATAATATCGGCTGCCAATATTATCAGACATCCCTAACTTAAAAGCATTTTATGTTTCACCATATATATTCGTACACAATATCACATCTGTGAACTGATCAGATGTGACATCACGTTGATGTTTTCTTTTTTTGTATTAATCTTTGATTTCAGGATGAGAGCTATTACCTCCGTTCGCTGGGAGAGGACGTCAGGAAGGTTTGAATCCCATTACAGTGAAACATAACAATGGAAATGTCCGAACTCACACTGTGACCCCGTCGTAAATGTTTGATATCGGCTCCTAAAGGAACCTGCTGACCTGAGAAAACAGTTCCCAGAACTGGCGAAGGACTTCCACATCCCACAGTTTTTTGAGGAGGATCAGTTCTTCTCCAGTGTCTTCCGCATCAGCTCCAGCGGTCTGCAGCTGTGGACGCACTATGATGTGAGGGAAAAATCCACGACCACGAAGTCTCTGTTCTAGACCGTACACTAATCTTTCCTCTTTGTTAAGGTGATGGATAACCTGCTGGCCCAAGTTACTGGGAAGAAGAGAGTGGTCCTCTACAGCCCCCAGGATGCACTGCACCTGTACCTGACTGGTGAGATGTGTTCAGATTAGTTGTTGGACTGGTCCATGAAGCCATAAGCTTTGATTGACAGTTGTACTGTAACCCACAGGTGATAAGTCCGAGGTGCTGGACATCGATTCACCAGATTTGACACAGTTCCCAGACTTTGTCAAAGCACAGCGTTATGAATGTGTGCTGGAACCTGGAGATGTTCTATTCATCCCTGGTAAGAAAAGTTTTTCTGGTTTCATCTGAATGTTTGGTTTGTAGGTCAAAGTTCAAAGTCGTGGACTGAAGCTCGTACATCCCCAACTGTGACCCGTGTGTTCATCCATGTGTCTGCTGTTTCCTCAGCACTGTGGTTCCATAACACCACTGCTCTGCAGTTCGGTGTGGGTGTGAATGTGTTCTGGCGCCATCTACCTGTGGACAGCTATGACAGAAAAGATCCGTACGGTAACAAAGACCCAGTCGCTGCAGCCCGAGCCCTCCAGGTCCTAGAGAGGGCGCTGAACATCCTGGATGATCTTCCAGCAGATTATAAAGACTTTTACGGGCGTCGTATGATACAGCGCATCCAGAAGAGGGCGCTCGGTGACAGTTCATCAGTGACGTCGACAACGGAGGAGTCCGACACCACATCACCCAGAAGACAGTTCACCAAACCTGGATGAGCCTGGAAAGAGTCTGATTTGTGGAGGGTTTTAGTCCTGGGGTTGATGGAACTGTTGAGAACTTGGTAAAAGTTTCTTTAACTTTTATTTAACTCTTTACTGTACAGACTTTGTGTGGTAACAAATAGAAACATCTCAGTAATAAAGTGTGAACAGCATCGACTACCGTGGAGCACTTCCTGATTTAAACACCATCGACCACATCACCTCCATTAAAACAATAGGACCTATTTGACTGGGACCTGAGTCTGTCTGGTGACAACGGTGAAAACATGTCGACAGTGAGTAGTATTGTGTACTACATGCAAATATTTGGCTTTGGCATTTTATTACACAGCAGATATGACAGCATTTGTCCGCTAACACGGTAAAGCGTTGTAAACGGTGAACAGTGAGCTCAGTCAAAGACCACATTTAAAACTCTACTGTGCTTAAAAGTGTCCACCAGGTGGCAGCAGCAGGTGCACAAGCCTTAAACATATTTAACATTTATTCCACTCCTTTGGAGTCTTCTGATTTAATGATATAAATTAAAACACATACTGACCGTGGCCGCTGTGTAACTCCTCTTCTGTTTTCTGTCCTGGTGTGACATGATGAAAAAGTAACAATTTTCTTCAAGTCCTCCAGCCACCACCGCTTCATTTTTTTACACTCCGTCTTTTCGTGAGAGGCCATGTTAATGTCAAAGATGACGGTACCTCATCGTCAGGTGTAACAATAGAAACCATCGCATAAATTCACTGGAAAAAATATACATTCCCCCTGTGCTACATACAGTATGAGTCGAGCTGTCGCCATAATGTGACGTAACAGATAAAGTTTGCAATTTCAAATGTACATCAACAATATCATAGAGCGTGTACCTGATGATAACTGTGTGTAAAAGTAAATAACGTCTTGTTTTTTCCGAGATTAAAGATGGCGGCGCCTGATTTTATTACCGAGCTGGGAGAGTCCGAGATGTGGATTTGTTTTTTAAATAGAAATGTCTGTATTTACGGAACTCTAAAGACAACCGTTCACGTATCGTTACACACCAGGACGTTCGCATTATTTCCCAGAAAGCATAAAGTTCCACCTAAAGTTCAATAAGTTGTTGGGATTCAACACAATATTAATTGTTTATCAACTGAACTAGATTTGTCTCCTGGCTAAAGCCTCGACGCTGTAAAACACAAAGTGTGATTTAGCACCATCTACAGTGCAGTTTACAGTAGTGACACTGAACAAATAATCTCAGGTTTCAATGTCGGTTCTGTGCAGACTTTGAAAACTGTTCTACTCTGTAGGTTAAATGGTTCCAACATTTGAAAACTGCACCACACTTCCTGCTAACATCAACGCGCTGTTGATGTTACTGAGCCATGGATTAGACTGTGAATTGACACTGTCGACTTTTACGTTTAAAAAAATAATTTGGACTTGAATCAAAACAGGAAAAAAAGGAAAAACATTTCAAACTGAGGGTCAAACCTTGGCTCCGGTTCACAGCATCAGGATCCTCCGGGTCTTAAAAACCACTTATGTCTATGGAAATAAGGCAAGAAAAGGAGGTGGGGGGGGATTGGGCGTTGGACCAAAGTCACAAGGTACACAGTCATCTGCTCGTCTTTGGGATGGACGTTCGGACCACTCTCACTTTCCTAATTACTGGTTACATGTTGACGTTGAATCTCTTATCTGTTGGGCAGGTGAATTTTTCTGGATGTTTATTGGACGATTTGTTCGTTTTGATGTGAGGTGCAAGGTTGGTGCTACGGAGTCTGTGCCAGGCCTCGAGTGGACTTCATCTTCTCTAACCGTTTGAAAAGGTGGCTGTTGTTCGACTCCAGTTCGTCCACTTTGTCCAACGCTGTCCGCAGCTGTGGGGTAAAAATGGCGAAAGTGAAAAAAAACAAACAAAAATCACTCAGAAGATGATTTCACGTATGTGAGAAGAATATACTAATGTAATATCGCAGACCGATATTAACATAATTAAGTGATATCTGTAAGAATCGTTATCAGTTTTTGCATAATTAAGTGATCTGTAAGAATCGTTATCAGTTTTCCTCTGATAATGAAAACCCGATAACACAATGCCTGGGTTTCACCAAATGATGTGTGACCTAAAAATAGTTTGGGGGAAAAACGGCTGTATATGAAAGTGAAAGCACTACATGGCAGCATTGTAGCTCATTTTATTAATCTATTTTAATAATCAGGGGATTATATGCAGAAAGCAACTCATACAGTGGTTTGTACTGATAAATAAATATTACCAGGCCCTTAATAGTATATCAAATCCGGTGTGTGTGTGTGTGTATGTGTGTGTATGTGTGTGTGTGTGTTTGTGGTTCTGCTCCACCTCTCGTTGCAGTTTCCGTTTTTCTGCCTTCAGCTCATCCTCCACCTTCTCTGCGTTTTCCGCTGCTGCCTTGTAGCGTGTCACCTGACCCTCCAGTCTGGTCACCTGGGTGTAGGACAGACTGATGGTGAACTAAACTGTTAGGCTGTCACAAATGTTGTCACCTCACCAGTGTTGGCTGCTTACATTCTGCTCCAAAGCAGTGACCTCTTGTTCAGTTTTCACCAGCTTGAACTTCAGGTCCGTGACCTGCCGGCTGGAATCTCCTGGACGTTTGAAAAGTTGAAAGTTAATACAGAGATGTTCAACTGGACAGAACTGTTTAAGCGAAGGCGTGAGAAGATGTACTCACTCTGTGGTTCCGTGATGTTGGGCTCACCGCCATTTTCAATAATCTCACCATCGGGGCTGGAACCAGCGTCTGAGCCGTTCTTCTGGGACTTCTGATCCAACTGTGACTTTAGCTTCTTGATCTATTAGCACAGAGGAAACGCATCATGTGAAAAGATGAGCGCCACCTATAAATGTTCTCGCTGAGTTAGTCAGAAACAGCTCCATCTGCTGGTACCAGACAACTACACCATGATGGAACACCTAAATACATCAAACAATTAATTAGAGCCCAGTGACGTCATCAGTCAAACCCAGACTCCTCACCTGTTCGATCATTTTTTCCCGCTCATCCACCAGTTTTCTCAGACGAATCTCTACGAAGACAAAACAAACTTTAAATGTCTCCTGAACCGTCACCGTCATCAACGAGTCAAAAATATGTTAAACAAAAGACAAAAATTAGTCAACGTACCAGGGGTGGGAGGAGCCACGCAGGTGAAGGGTGCTGGTGAGGGAGGTGGAGGACGGGGGGTCTGAGTCAAAACAGTGGGTTGATGCATGCAGGAGTGAATCCACGGGAGGGAGGTGGAGTTATGGAGTGGGGTTGAGGGGGTTCGGTGTTAGTATGCACAGGCTGTGGAACGAAGGGCAGCAACGTCTAAAAATAAAACATTCAAACAACGAACGACCATTGAACGGACGAATGGTTTTTATTGGTCCCCTTTGTTCAGTACATTTATATTCTGTAGAAACAGGTTTTCACTAAAGAGCAGAAAGAAGCACGGCTTTGGACTCTGGTACTGTTCCCCGTCTCACACTGACACTTTTCTCCTTTTCCTTTCTTTAGTTCGATGGTATTTTCATTTACATGTGCAAAGATTCTGTCAGTCCAAAACGACTGACTCCAACATTCACCTGGTCACAGACTGACAACAACGTCGTCGGTTCACCGACGCAGTCTCCGTTTGTTGCCCTTTAACATCAATCATTTACTGTCCTTTTTTGATCCTGGGATTTTGTCTCTCAGTGCATTTGGTACCAGGTGACAGAGAAACAAAATAAATAGACCAGATTCTCATCCAATCACAAACAGCTGTGACTAGTCCTTTCAAAATAATAGTCTACTACATCAATATTCAAACGACAGTATTAAGTTTCAGCCGGTCATAGACTTAATCTTTAAACATTTTTAACTAGTACAACTGCAACAAAAATCTGGATTTCTGAGAAGATGACGACTAAGACATCTTACAGTCCTCTTTGCCTTTGCCTTTCTTCGTGTTCTTCTTCCCATCTTTTCCTGATTGGGGCAGTTCTTTGGTGCTGGACACTTGATTTTCTCTCTTTGGTAGAACCATGTCCCGGTCATCCTGGAACTCCCGGTCATCCTGGAACTCCTGGTCACTGACAGCTCCTTCCGTCTGTACCTGTGAAGGTGTTGTCTCTCTGACCTTCCCCTCCTCCTCTGACTTTAACATTTCATCTGTTAGAGGATCTTGACGGTCGTCAGTTGACTCGTCCGACTCTCTGTTTGGACTTTGTTCTTCTGCACACCCATCAGTCTCCTCCTGTCCTCCAGGGGTCTCAGTTTCACTGATTTTCTCATCTGTCTCCACCTCCTCCTCTAAAATCTCCTGCGCTGCATTTTCAGAGAATTTTTTTTCCAGTGCTTCCTCGTCCATCATGTCATCAAAGTCGAAGGACTGCCCTTCCTCATCTTCACCGTTCTCTTCATCACTGACCCCCTGAGTGGGTTCAGATGGTTCCTCGTCATCTCTGTTTCTGCTGGGTTCCTGCAGTGGCTCTGGATCTGAGCTAAAATCTGAACCGTGTTCCTGAACATGTGGACCAGTATCTTCAGGATCTCCAACAGCAGACAAGAGCCCTGTGACGTGCTGCTGCTCTAAGGAAGAACAAACCTCCGTAGGTTCCGTCAAAGAATCTTTATGATGCAACACATCGGTACTCCTGACCTCATCAGTGTCCCTGACATCAGTACTACTGACCTCACTGGTGCTCTCAACCTCATTAGTACTCCTGACCTCATCAGTGTTCCCAACATCAGTACTCCTGACCTCATCAGTGTCCCTGATGTACTCTTGACTTCATCTGTACTCTCAACCTCATCGGTGCTCCCGACATCAGTACGCATGACCTCATCGGTATTCTCAACTTTGTCGGTACTCTTGGCTTCATCGGTACTCCTGACCTCATCGGTACTCCTGACCTCAACAGTGCTCTGAACCTCATTGGTACTCTCGGCTTCATCGGTACTCCTGACTTCATTGGTACTCCTGACCTCATCTGTACTCTCAACCTCATCGGTGTTCCCAACTTTGTCGGTACTCTTGGCTTCATCGGTACTTCTGACCTCATCAGTGCTCTCAACCTCATTGGTACTACTGACCGCATCAGTACTCCTGACCTCATCGGTACTCCTGACCTCATCGGTACTCCTGACCTCATCGGTGCTCTTGACCTTCTCCGTTTCCAAAGATACTTCAGGAGCAGTCACTGATTCAGCAGTTAGCTCAACACCTTCTAACATCTGAACATCTCCAGCACCTGAATCCAAACCTCCTACAGACTCGATCTCCGTCGTCTCATCTGAGTCTTTAATCCAAGTACCTGGACCTGACGGTGACTCGGAGGGAGACAAAGTCCTCAAACTGTCAGTGATGTCATCGTCATTCAATGATGTCATGTCCTGGCTCTCAGAAATCTGCGGGAGATCTGATTGGTCGTCAGCAGCCGCACTGGTTTCCAACACATGTGATCCGGCTTCAGGGTTCTCCTCAAGACTGGGTTCTGCTGCCTCACCTGTGGAGTCAGGGTTCTCCACAGGACTGGGTTCTGGTGCCTCACCCGTG